TCCCCCCCGTGTCCCCTGACCCAGAACACACCCCAACACTCACACAGTGACCACAGGTCCCTGCCCCACCCAGCACCCCCTCAGCCCTGCCTTGGGGCACCCCAGGGTGCAGCAGCCAGCACCTCTGGCCTGATTAGCAGCTCCCCTGGGGCACCCTGAGACTGCGGGGCCAGAGCCAGAGCTGGGTGAATCCCCCAAGGCCACAGACACCCCAAGAAGGGCTGTGGGGCATCTGGGGGGGCCCTAAAGGCACACCTGCTGTGCTGCACTCACACTGCACACACACCACCCACGCTGCACCCAGGCCCTGTGTGTGTGTGTGGGTGTGTGGGTGGGTGTGTGGGTGTGGGTGTGGGTGTGGGTGTGTGTGTGGCACATGCTGGGTGTGCAACGCACACTGCAAATAACCTGCACGGCACAGGCTGCACAGGCTACACACACACTGCACACACACACACTGCACACACACTGCACAGACTGCACACACACTGCACACACACTGCACACACACACTGCACAGACTGCACAGGCTGCATGCACACACTACACACTGCACACACACTATCATAGCCATGGCACACACTGAACACACACACACACTGCACACACACTGTCATAGCCATGGCACAGGCTGCACACCCACTGCACACACAGTGCACATACACTGCACACACAGAGTCATAGCCATGAACACACGTACACTGCACACACACTGTCATAGCCATGGCACACACTGAACACACACATACACTGCACACACACACTGTCATAGCCATGGCACACACTGAACACACACACACACTGCACACACACTGTCATAGCCATGGCACAGGCTGCACACCCACTGCACAGATTGCACACAGACTGCTCACACTGCCCACACTGCTCACGCTCTGCACACCCCGCACGTGCAGTGTGCACTGCACGCTCACTGCACACACCCCGTCTGCCCACAGCTCCTGTGCCCACTCGCTGTGCACACCACCCCCCCACACACACACCGTGCCCCGTGTCCTGCCCGTGCAGACCCCGCTCTGTGTGTGCTGCAGGCACGGCAGGCGGGCACTGCCCCCGGCACTGCACGGGCAGCACATGGCACAAACCACCCCACACACACACCCAGCCCCGCACGGGCACACCCACACCGGGCACACCCACACCGGGCACACCCACACCGGGCACGTGCTTCACACGTTCCCTGCCACGCTCAGCCCACCGAACGCACACCCTCTCACACACCTGCCCCTCGCTCCAAGCACCCCTGAGCACCCCACACACGCCCTGTGGGTGGGTCACACCCCACACCCACCCCGGCACGGGCACAGACACGCTGTGGTCACACTGCTCACAGGGCACTCCCCACACAGACACCCCGCATGTGCCCAGCCTGAGCAACACACAGCACCCACCCGCTGCCCGCCTCCCTCTGGGACCCCTATTTACACCCTCCCAGCACGAACTGATGCTCCTTTTCCCTCCCCACTCCCATTCGGGCATCCGCCAGCTCTTTGCTGGCGGGTCGGGGCGATGCAGCTCCTTCCCCTCGCCCCAGGATTACGGCTTTCCGTCCCATTTCCATGTCTGCCGACATCCTCCCGGTGGAAAGAGACCCTTAATCCCCAGCAAATACTGCAGGAAGATTTCAGATGCCGGATAAAAAGCTTAAAGATGAAACGTTGCAAGGGTTGAAAATGCTTATAAGCGTCACCAAAACGGTTATTAGCCGGGGGACGGCGCCGGGTCACTCCTGCAGTGCCTGGGGACTGACGCTGGGTCCTCCAGCGCTCCAGGGCCAGCCTTCCCCGTGGGAGAGGCTGGAGGAGAGGAGCTGGTCTGGAAGGAGGGACTTGGTCCCCTCCAGGGCGGGACAGGGGGAGCTCGGGTTGGCTCTCAATCGTGGTTCTTTCATAAAATCCTCCACTTTGGGGGAAATTTGACTTTCAGCACCGACAGGTGCATTGGTCTGGTGACACCTGAGAGCAGAGCCAAGTGCAGGGTGCCCAGGGTGTCCATCTCCAGGACCCTGGGTCAGTCCCCAGGACACCACAGCCCTGGGATAACGCAGAGAGGATTATTCCTTTGCATAACCTGTTCCTGGGGCCGCCCCACCCTCCTGTCCCTCCATCCACTTGTCCATCTGTCCCCGTACCGGGGGTCCGCGGGGGGGTCCGACGGCCCCCCAGCCCCACTTGACCCCCGCAAATTCCCCCCCCAGGGCCACCATGGTTCGCTGCTGAATAAGTGCGGGAGGGGACCCCTGGCGAGGCTGCGGAAGCCGGGGACAGCGAGGGCACCCGCCCGCCTCCGCGAGGGGAAGGAAGCGCCCCAAGGAAAGAGCACCGGCGAACCGCACCACGTTCACCACGTACCAGCATGCACGGAGCTGGAAACGCGCCTTCGAGGAGTCCCAACTACCCCGGCGTGTTAACAAGCCGCGAATGAGGCTGGCCATTTGAAGGTCAACCTGCCAGGAGGTCCGCGTCAGGTAGGGAAGGGCACCCGTGGCCACCAGCCCCCCGGGCCTGTCCCCTTGGGCCGGGTCAGGAGGGACCCCGGGGTGCTGGGAGAGCTTCACGCTCCGCTGCCGGCCCCACCGCCGCCACCTCCCTTCCGAGGGCCTTCAGGTTCCCCACTGTTCGAGTGGGTTGCCAGGGCAACCTTCTTGCAGAGCTTGCTCCTGACCAAAGCCAGGGAAAGGTTGGCTGAGGCCTGTTTTTCCCCATGGGGTTCCCAGTTTGGCTGTGGGTCCAGTTTTGGCCCAGGGCCACAGCTTCCGTTTGGCAGGGGGAGATGGTTTTAGAGATTGTTTTTTTCCCCTTCTGGTGTGGGCTGCTCCATCCCTTCCTGCTGTTCACGTGGAAAAGCAGCCAAAACCTTCGGCTGATTTAGGCCACTCCCAGGTCTCTTATCGGCTGGGAAAGCACAAGCATCCTCACAGATTTTGGGGTTTAAGTTGTTTTGGGAGCAGGGGGGGCAGTGGGGCTGGGGAGGTTTCGCTCCCTGGGCTGCAGGAAAAGGCTCATGGGGGAACAGCACGGCCTGAGAAGAGCCCAGGGTTCCACCAGTATGGTCCCCACCATCCCTGGACTGACATGGTGAGATCAGGGAGAGGGAAAGGGCCAGTGTGCTGAAGGAGACAAAACCCCTGCAAAGCAAAGCAGTAACCCCCGCACAGACGAACTGAGATCCCCAGGCCTCAGCCCCAGTCTAAGACAAGGCAGCCTTTTTTTGGGGGTGTCCAGACTATAAGGATACCTCTGCTGAGCTCTCTGAGCAATGACCAGTTTCATAGAATCACAGAATCACTCAGGTTGGAAAAGCCCTCCAAGACCATCGAGCCAACTGTTCCTCCAGCACGGCCAAGGCCACCACTGTCCCCATGGCCCCAAGGCCACCCATGTCCCCAAGAGCCAGATCCACACGGCTTTTAAATCCCTCCAGGGCTGGTGACTCCACCAACTGCCCTGGTCACCCTGTGCCAGCCCTGGACAACACTTTTGGGGAATAAGTTTCTCCTGATATCCAACCAAAAACTCTCCTGGCGCAGCTTGAAGCCGTTTCCTCTTGTCCTGTCCTCTTGTCCTGCCCGACCCCCACCTGGCTCCACCCTCCTGTCAGGGAGTTGTGGAGAGTGAGAAGGTCCCTCCTGAGCCTCCTTTTCTCCAGGCTGAGCTCCCCCAGCTCCCTCAGCTGCTCCTCATCAGACTCGTGCCCCATCCCCTTCCCCGCCCAGCTGTTCATCTTTCCTCCCCCTTTGCCTCTCACAGCAGACCCTGTGCTGCTCTGGGGACATGGGGACCAGCACTCCAATGAGCTGTTCCCACAGGGCCAGATGTCACTGCTGGATTTGGCTCACTGGTCCCTGTCGTTCCTGCTGGATTTTGGTGTAACTATGGCATTTTAACGTCTAGAAGCTTTGAGCCAGGGGTTGGGAAGGTCGGATAACACTACCCCGAGGGCTGCTGGGTGTCTGCAGGGCCAGGGTGCACATTTCCATGGAGCAGTGAGAGTAGGGGCTGTGTGCTGATGCCTCTTGCTTTCTGTACCTCAGAGATGTCCTTGGTCTCTGGGGCTTGTGGGAGAGCTTTGGCAGAGGTGTGTGGTGTGCCGGGATTGCCGGAGCTCTGGAGGGCAGCCCATGTGCAATGGGGTACCCCACACATGATGCTGAAGCACTCCCTGTGGGGCAGAGCATGGGGTACAGCATGTGGGGCACACTGCAAGGGACCAGCTGGGCACGGTGGAGCTCACCCTGGCTCTCACCCTGCAGGTCTGGTTCCAGAACCGACGAGCCAAGTGGAGGCGGCAGGAGAAGATGGAGGCCAGCTCCATGAAGCTCCACGACACCCCCGTGCTCTCCTTCAACCGGCCCCCCATGACCCCCAACGTGGGGCCCATGAGCAACTCCCTCCCGCTCGACCCGTGGCTGACATCCCCCATCTCCAGCGCCACCACAGTCCACAGCATCCCCGGCTTCATGGGAGCCCCCCAGGCCCTGCAGCCCCCCTACGGGGGGCACTCCTTCCTCAACACCCCCGCACCGATGGCGCAGGGCATGCAGCCCATGGCCCCCGCGCCCTACCAGTGCGGCACCCCCTTTGTGGACAAGTACCCGCTGGAGGAGGTGGACCAGAGGAGCTCCAGCATCGCCTCGCTCCGCATGAAAGCCAAGGAGCACATTCAGACCATCGACAAGACCTGGCAGCCCATTTGATGAACGTTCCCCTCTGGCCCCTCCGGCCCCCCCGGCCCCGGCTCCTGGCCCCGGTGCCGGCTCAGCCCTGGGGCAGGTGAGGGAGGACAGTGGGTGCTCAGCAGGACCAAAGCTGGTGCTGGGCAGGAATGCCAGGCTGTGTCTTCCCCTGCTGAGCCAGCACTGGCAGTGCAGGCAGGGAA